AAGTTTCAAACGTGTCTGGCTCAATCGGCCTACGCCATTCCGTGGGAGAAATCGGCCGCCAACCCCCGTCTGTAAGGGTGGCGATCACAGCCCCTATAGGTCCTCGGTCTTTCCGCCACCGGAACTTGGGCTCGTGCCCGATACGCGCGGCCACCAATGGCCAGGCTTTCGCGATGCGAGATTGGAGGGAGGGGCACTTGTCCCAGAGGTCGAGCCAGGAGCGGACCAGCTGGGTCCTCAGACTGGCACCAGGATCCTTGTCCCCGAACCAAATCGCAAGAGTGGTGGTGAGGCATCGCCCTAGGCCCTTACCAGCCGCCGCTTGGGCCGCCTGCCTTCTCAACTGAAGGGTAGAAGATGGGGAAAGTCCCATCGCCTGGTGCTCATGCACCGACTGGGGCAACGCCCCTTGCAGTCGCAGGCCTTGGGATGTTCTGGCGAGAGAATTGTGCTTCCTAAGCTTCTTGATGCGAACACCTCTGGAGCGGCCCTTGCTCAGACGCCGGTTGAGCTTGACGCGCGACCGACGAGGGCCCCCCGCCACAGCGCGCCCCAAGTCCACGGCAGTTTTGACGAGCGAGGCCGGCGTCCCCAGACAATTAAACTTCTTCAGAAGCTCGGGTCCCAGTTCAGGAGTGTTGATCACTAACTTGGTCTTGGATGAGATCGGGGGCTCCTGGCCGCGAACGACCGCGCAAACGAGTCAGCGAGCCCCGACATCTGGCCAACAACGTCGGCCCTCTTACCTTCAGACCGAGACCGAGCAACAGTGTCGTCGACGAAAGTCCAGATGGCTGACGAGGCCTTGGCTTGATTCAAGGCGATCACCCCGTAGGCCTCGCCCATGATGGGCCCCAAGAATTGTTTGGCCAACGAAACTCCTTTGGACGATCCCGCGACCCAAAACCGAGTCGGACAAACAAACAAAAAATCGCTGGCCATGGCCCGAGATTTCAACGCTCGCGTGGCCAAAAACATGTGGATTTCTAACAAGGCGACGACGGAAGGGTAACCTTGGGATAACGCACCCTGCATGAGCTTCAGGAGAGAGACGTTACCATATTTTTTAAGATCGAGCAACAACACGGCCACTGCAAAGCGCAGCTTGTGAGCAGCCTCATCCATGACTGCCCGCTGAAGGGCGGCTCGCAGCGCTGTCGAATTGCACGCCGCGTTGTTCCAGAAGTCGTTCTTGCTGTCAGCCCAGCGGTCCGTGGCCCCCGATCGCGCGCGTGACCGCGTGCCCATGAGCTTCGGGGGGGCACCAATGATGCGCTCGCCACCCGCTGGCTCGGGCAGCGCGGCGCAAAGCGTCAGCAGCAACTGCAGCGGCCACGGGCCAACGTCCTCCGCAGCATTGAGGATGGCGGCGACCTCTTGCTTGGCTGCCAGCGGCAGCCTCTGCAGATCTGAAGGTCCAAGCCAGTCGACGCCCTTGGCCTTGGAGCTCGGCAGCTTGCACCACAACGGCTCCAAGTCATCAGTCGTGAGCGGCGGCAATGCCTCGACCTGGCTCTGGGCGTGGGGGTGCTCCATCGTGTCCAAAATAGCGTCGGGGCGACGCGTCGTCGTCTGTCCATATCGGGGCCCGCCGCTGCACCTTTTGAGCCATGATCTCCTGAGGGTCAGAGGTGGCTCCTGGCGCGGCGGCGCGCGGGACCTCCAAGACCTCCAAGGGCCCTGGGCCCTTCGCGTGCTGGTGGAGGTACCTCGGCTTGTTTCTGGGCCCACATGTCCTTTGCCCACTTGACGTGCGCCTGAGGCGCAACCGTCATGGAGCGCGCAAGCGCTCGGCCGACCCACCTCTCGGTGACCTCCACGATCTCATCCAAACTGTTGACATCAGCCTCGCCGCTGGGCAGCAAGATCGGCTTGATCCAGTAGTCGACTTCCTCGGCGGTGGCCTTGCTTCCGAAGATGACGGCGCGCGGCTGCTCAAGAGCCTGCGCGACCATCGGGTTGAGAGCGAGCACGCGCTGATGCTGCTGATCCAGGTCGGAGCCGCTGCGCACCAACGAGCGGTGCCGCCCTATGATCGACTCGATCGTCCACCACCACTCCATCGTAGGCGAACGCATATGTGTTCGGCCAGGAACCGCCTTGAGTCGCGTTCACCTTAGCCCGCGCAGCTGGCCTCGCCCACAATGCTTGCTCCACTCGTCCATGGTAATCTGCTCGGTGGTCAAGATCGCTGGCTCCGCAGTCGCCGCCCAATGGCCGTGGCGAGCCGGGAGCGCCGTGACGGCGCCCGTGTTGCGTGGCACCGCCCAGGTGATGCTCTCGCTGACCAGCTCGCTGGGGGCGGTCGACGGGCTCGTGCCAGAACTTGCCCCGCGTCTCAGCTGGCACGTGGAAGGGGGCCGGGATTGCATCATCGCGTGGACGAACTGAAGGAGGGTGGAGCTCATCAAAGCTCTTGTGCAACTCCTCGGGTAGCCGCTGCCGACGGGCGACCCTCCTCTCCTCCAGCTGCTTCTGCCGCTTGCTGTTGGGGTCGGCCTGGCGCCTGGGTCGATCGCGACGTGGTAATGCCTGCGGTGAGGTCGCCACTTTGTGTCACCAATCTTTGTGGGCGTCGGAAATCTGTATATCTAAACCGATGTATGTGCGCCAAGGCGCCGCCGTGGACCCCTAGGCCTTCACCTGCTCGTGGAACCCTTGCTTGACTGCCAGGTAGTCGATCAAGGAAGCGCTGTCCCCTTTAGTGCAGGTGTGCTCGACGCCCCTGGGGGCGATGACCTCGCCGTCCCAGACCCCGAGGATGCCCGACTGCTGCAAGTCCTCGGGGGTGATGTTCCAGTCCGGCATGACCAGCCACGGGTCCGCAAGGGTGGGCAGGAAGGCCGCGGGCGCCGTCGCCCTCGGAGCGCTGTCGCCTCCCACCTTGTGGCCTGGAGAAAAGTAGGCGGTGATGATGGCCGCGTTCCCTTTGCGAAGGAGCAAGGTGAGCGGGCAGAAGCCCCGGAAAGGGCACCCACGCTTGCTCATGAGCTCCCAGCTCGTCGCGGCCAGGTGCATTTTGGCCAGCACCCACTCGCATCCTCGAGCATCCGATTCGAACTTGACCGAAGCCTCTGCGTGTGTGGCCGCGATCTCCCAGCCGTCTTTGAGGCAATCCAGCTGGGCCTTCGGCATCTGCAAGGAACTGACGTGCGTCTCCGCCAGTGCCAACACCTCGAATTGTTGGCCCACTCCTCGGGAGAAACCCTGAGCTTTGGGCCCCTACCTGGGAACGCTGCCGAAAGAGATGCGTGCATGACCCGACTGCCTCTTCAAGGGTACCAGAGGGCACCAGGTCGGTGCTGGTGGTATCAGAGGGGGCTCTTGGAGCTGGGCGGCCACGTCGTCCTCCGCATCCTGCAGCCCCTGGCCCAGGTCGTCAAAGGGGTCGCGGTAGCCTTCGCCACTCGCGTGGCAAAGCTCGCCGTCGCCTAGAACCTGCGACTGTGAGACCACGGGCGGGTCCTGCGCCCTAACGCCGTGATCCTGCGCGTCGGTGCAGAGAGGCCGTGGTGGCGACTGTGAACCCAACGTCTCCGTCGGGATTTGCGCTCTAACGCCTCGGCAAAACTGGGGCGCCTCGGCAAAACTGCGACGTTGAACCCGACTCGAGAAGCATCGGGATCTGCGTTCTAACTCCTGATGGGCTCGAATATGGACTCCCTTGTGGAGCCACAGATGGGTGCTGCGCCCTAGCGCTGTGCTCATCCGCGTCGGTGTTGAAAGGCGGCGGTGGCGACTGTGAACCCAACGTCGATGTCGGGATTTGCGCTCCAACGCCTCGGCAAGACTGCGACGGTGAACCCGATTCGAGGAGCATCGGGATTTGCGTTCTATCACCTGATGGCCCCGCAGAGGGACCCCCTGGTGACGCCGGGGAAAACGAGGCCCACGTGGAAATTTGAATAGCAGCGGAAGCTGGAGCGCAAGTGGACATCGAAGAAGACGGGCCCGTCCCCGCGCATGCGCCGCGGCTCGCCCCCTGGCTCATCCCACTCGAATCTCCCGACCCCCCCTGGGACCCACGAGGGTCGGGGGCCTGGGGCGGGCTTGGGGGAGGCGGCTGCGGCCGCGCCAGCACCTGCCGCCGCGCTGACCGTGACCAAACTCATGGGCGGTGCCGTAGGGGAAGGAGATATGCCTATGACTTACCCTCTTCGATGGCCGCAGCCGAAGGCGGGCCTTCGCGGGCGGCCTGATCGCCATGCCCGAGTAAAAAGCTACGGTTGGCCGGCCACGGTGGGGAAGGCGAAGCGCAGGTTCAAGCGGCGCCAGCTGCTGCGTCTCACAGGAGAGGCCTCCCGCAGAAAGGGAGCTCGACAACGAACTCGATGTTAACCTCGGCCTCTCTCCTGGGTGTAGGTGGGCCGCGCTCGTCGAAGATCTCAATGGCTGTGGCCATGGGCCTCCCCTGGCGCGCGAGCTCCTCCTCCCGCGCCTCGCGGTCCGTCTGCTGGAGCCGCTGCAGGTTGTCGCGGTAGTTGGCGCGCGCGCCTCCGCGCCCTCCAAGCGGGCGCGCGCATGTCCCTGGCAATGTCCAGCAGTGCGATCGCTGCGTTGTCATGGCCTGCCGCCAGGAGCGCGTCGTCAGTGGAATGACGATGAGCAGGGTGAGCGAACCACGCTGCGACGCACTCGGCACACAACGCCATGAAATGCGCCGCGTCGCCTTCCTGGTCCAGGACCGTGGGGTCTTGCAGCCGCGTCTGGGTGTAGGCCCTCTGTCTGCGCTCCAGCAACTGTCGGTGGTGCACCGCGCGCCGCCGTACTGGGCCCTGATCCTCTGGCTGCCGCGGCTGAGGCCTCTGGTCAAAGAAGCGTCTGGCCTGCGGGCCTGGCGGCCTCGGAGGCGGCCTTGGCCTTGGCCTTAGCGGCCTGGGCAGCCTCGGCTCGAGCGGCCGCCCGCAAGGCCTCGGGGCCGCTGAGGTCGCGCACCGCCACCCCAACACCATCTGGCACAGCAGGAGGGGCAGTAGCAGCGGGTGCAGCCACGCTGCCGCCTGCCGCCGCCGCTGGACCGTCGGCTGCAGTGGCCTCGCCGTCGGGGCCGCGGCGCCGCTCGGACTGCAGCCTGGCGTGCAGCTTCTTGGCCTCCTCGCGGAGCTTGACGATTCGCTCTGCGGCTGGGCCAAGGGCTTGCTGCACCCTCTCCTGGACGCTGGCCGCGATCTCGGCCTTGATGCGGTTCCACTCGTCCTTGTCGCTGCTGTCGATCTCGAGCCCTTCCATGTCGAAGAGCGGCCCATCGACGATCTTCAGCGCGCCCTCGTCGACGAGGATGGAGAGGTTGATGGCCGAAGCAGCGGGTGCCTTGCCTTGGTCATCCTCGCCTTCCAACGGAGGCGACGGCAGCTGCTTCTTGCAGGCCGCCTCCCGGTCGAGCTGGGCCTGGTGCGCCGCTGCCGTGGCGGTGTCCTCATCAGCTTTTGCAGCGGCCAGCCATGCCTCGCCCTCCAGCACCCGCGCGGTGCAGGTCTCGAGCCATGCCTGCGCGCGCCTGCACGCAATGCCCTTGGTGGAGACCTCCTCCTCCAAGAGCGGCGCCCGACGAGGTGCAGGTTCGGGCTGCTGCGCCTTGGCCTCCGCCCTCTTGGCAATGAGGGTTCGGCGCAGTCCCCCAGCTCGGCGCGCAGGAGCTCGAGGGGGTCCGCCGCGGGAGCCGCCTGTTCCTCTGCCGCTGCAGGCGAGCTGCCGCCGTAGGGGTACCAGCCTGGCCCTTTCCAGACCCAAGGCCGACGGTCGACATGGCCGCCCTTGGCAGCTCGCGGCGGCACAGGCGGGCCCATGCGCCCAGCCGTGGGCGCCACGGCCGCGTCGGCAGCAACCTCGAAGGGGTTCGTCGCGAGCGCGGGCGGGCCGAACGATCACTGGCCAGCAGGCTTCTTGTCCGGCGACGGGTTCGGCACCAGGGGCGAGGAGCATTAGTAGCACCAAGGATTGGACTTGAAATTCCAGCGATAACGGCACTGCGCACACGAGACGAAGGAGCCCGACTTGTCCTTGCCTTTGCCGCACGCGCCGCCATTGCCGCCCTTGGCGCCGCTGCGGCCCATGGGCTGACGGCTCTGCTGTCTGAAGCAGAGCTCCGCACCTGGGGCAGACCAGGCGGAGAAACTGAAAGCAGCCGCGGTGACAGCGGCATCCATTGAAGCCAGTGGGCTCCGCCCACCAAAGCATGAAACCTTGACCAAAATAGCTACGGAGGAGGAGGGGGATGAGGAGATGATGATGATGATGATGATGATGATGATGATGATGATGATGATGATGATGATGATGATGATGATGATGATGATGATGATGATGAGGAGGAGGAGGAGGAGGAGGAGGAGGAGGAGGAGGAGGAGGATGTGGAGGAGGAGGATGTGGAGGAGGAGGTCGGGGCCGTGGTCGGGTGGGGCGCGCAGCGTCAACTGCGCGTGGCCCGGCGCGCTGGCTGCCGCACAGCGAGCCATCCGGTCGGATGTCCGCTCTCTGGGAGGAGGAGGGGGAAGAGGGGGATGAGGAGGAGGAGGGGGAGGAGGAGGAGGAGGAGGAGGAGGAGGAGGAGGAGGAGGAGGAGGAGGTGGAGGAGGAGGAGGAGGATGAGGAGGAAGGAGGAGGAGGATGATGGGGGAGGAGGAGAAGGAGGAGGAGGAGGAGGAGGAGGAGGAGGAGGAGGGCGATGAGGGCGAGGCTGCTGATGAAGATGATGATGATGCTGCTGCGATGATGATTATTGTGTGCTGTGATGATGATGGTCTTGATGATGCTGATGATGCGGATGATGATGATGATGATGATGATGATGATGATGATGATGATGATGATGATGATGATGATGATGATGATGATGATGATGATGACGATGATGATGATGATGTGATGATGATGATGATGATGATGATGATGAGATGATGATGAGGATGAGGATGAGGATGAGGGAGGAGGGGGAGGAGGAGGAGGAGGAGGAGGAGGAGGAGGAGGAGCGAGGAGGAGGAGGATGAGGAGGAGGAGGAAGGAGAAGCAACGTGAGACGAAAAAGGAAGGCCGGGCGGACCGACGGGGGATGACGACGGGGAGGGGCGGCGGGGGCGCTCCTGGACCTGGTGCAACACCCTCCGCAGCCTCTCGATCCGTGCGGCGTCCGGGCACCCTGTGGCCGCCGCCGTCGCTGAAACCACGGCCGTCGCCGTCCCCCTCTCCCCCTCCCTGCTCCTGTCCTCAGGCGTCCTCCTCCTCCTCCTCCTCCTCCTCCTCCTCCTTCTCCTCCTCTCGCCTCCCTCACTGCTCCCTCCTCCTCGCTCATCCTCTCTCTACACCTGTTCATTTGTCGTCCGCCGAGCTCTCCCAATTCTTTCCTGCTCCCGCTGCTCCTACCCCTCTTCCCCTTCCTTCTGCCGTGGCTCCTCCTCCTACCTCCCTCCTCCTGTTGCTCCCTCCCCATATCTCCATCCCCCGTCCTGCTCCTCCTCGTTTGTTCTCCTCACAGGGCCAATTGTATCCATTCCCTCCTTCCCCCTAGTTGCCTCCTCCTCCTCCTCCTCTCCCTCTTTCTCCTCCTTGTGAGGCGAACTCACTGTTTCACTGAACACTAAACGTGCCGCCCTTCGAATCCACAACACTAGCACACTCAATTCCAGAATCCTGCGCAGAACAACACGTGCTCAAATGGATCCAATTCCGACGCGATGGGACTGCCAACTGCCACACATGTTAGTATAATCGTCGTTGTACATCTGCCATGGCATTCGCTAAATCTTTCCTCGGGACAACTCCACCGTGTCCTCTGACCTGTCGCGAATCGCCCTGCGTACCCTGTAAGCCCTAAGCGTTGTTCACTTTATGTCGTCACGAGTGTCGTCATGCAGCCCCTGCGATTCTCATGCGACTCTGAGGGGCTCCACTCCAACGCGGGGAACAGCAATTTGCACAAACGAATTGTCGCGTGAGGTATCGGCAACACAGGTGGCAGATTAATGCAACAATCTCATTGCTACGACCTCCAATGGCGGAGGCCTCTGCGGGAAGCCAGCGGCACGATCACTTCCCAACCAGCCTGCGGTGCTGGGTCCTCGTTTTGAGGAGGCAGCGCCCCGCGTTCTCCTCCACTCCTTTTTCTTTCCCTCCTCCCTCCTCCCATGTGTGCCTCTGCCCTCCGAATCCTCCTCTCCCTCCTCCCTCCTCCCATGTGTGCCTCTGCCCTCCGAATCCTCCTCTCCTCCCTCCCTCCTCCCGTGTGTGCCTCTGCCCTCCGAATCCTCCTCTGCTCCCTTCCTCCTCCCATGCGTGCCTCTGCCCTCCGCATGTCGAGTTTGGCACACCCCTCACACGGTTCGTGGCCCCATAGGGAGCTCCGCCGAGGGCCTCAGTGGCAAAGTTCGCATGCGGTTCCCCACCCATTTCGGCACACCCCTCACACGGTTCGTGGCCTCATAAGGAGGCCCATCGAAAGATGGACCCAGAAAACGGTATCCACAACTGCATACGGTTGGGTCTTCGCCAGGCTATTTTTTGTAGGGAGACATCTAAATGTCGAGTTTGTTTCGGCCGCTCTTCAATTATGCCTGTCCTGCATCCTGCATGCGTCTGGAAATCCCCTATCGCTGTGCACAGGCGAAGAAAGTTGGGAAGATGCGTAAAGGGTATCCGGGCGCATGCTGTCCAGCGGTTCCTCGGCATACAAGTGAAACCGATCCTTTGTACACGTGGGACGTATGCAATCGCGTCTACCGTTGATTTCAAGTATGGTGAGTATGCTTTTGGTCAACGTCAATCCAATTCAAAACCTGGTGTCTGTCAACGGTTCGAACACGCCGTCCTCTCGTGTCGTCGGCATGACAGAACGAATGATCACGAGAGATACCAGCTTGCGCACCGCCGCAAGACTCGTGGATGCCGCTTTGGCTCCAAGAGGACTCATTGACAGCATCCCAATGTTTCCGTTGCAGGTGCGGACGGCCGTAGCACTTCATACAGAGTGGGACAATGAATCGCCAAACGCTGCCCAGATCCAGCGACTACACCATAAGTAGTCTTGACAATCATCATGTCGGGGTTTCTGCAACCACGCATCGAAGTCGACAGGGAGTTTCTGTCCTGGGCGCATATGCGGTTGGTTCTGCGCTGCGGCCATTGTTGCTGCGTGTGGAGTACATACCGAGCAACTTGCCCTACTTGGGAAGTGCTGTATGCAAATTGGCCGACTGGATCTGCCATCTTTGCTCGTGCATATGCTGCCTGCTGCATGCCCTCTTCAAAAGCCCAAGCGGTGTAATCCACTTTTGCGAACCATCTGGTTCGCACTCCACCAGAACCGAATTTCAACTCCAAATGATTCATTTGTCCCTGTACCTTCCGCTCTCATGGCACCATCTGCTCAAAGCTTACCTCGGTTTTGCATCCGCTCGTCAGCTTGGCCGCGATGGCTTGAGAAAAACACGTGCGTGGTGGCCAATCGGCCTTAGGTACGGGCCGCCCGACTGGCCTAACTAGCAGCAGCTATACGATACGCAGCCAGGGCAGAAAGACGTGGCACTCAAGACGGCGTCGAGGCGTTCCACTTGTGTTCTCGCTGGCCGAATCTAGGGGCATTGCGCACAATGGCGTCCGTGGGAGGTTGCAACGGCGACTCGGGCTCTGGCCTTGCAGGCGGCTTGACGGCATGTTCCCGTTCCCCGAGGTCGGCAGCCTGTCTCGCGCTCAATCTGAGCATGCATTGCGTGCACGGCCTGCGCAGCAGCAGCCATGGACCGCGTGGGTACCTGATGACAAAGAGAGCGACAAGTGGTGATCGATACCCGTCAGGTCTTCTCAGCACTCTCCGTGGTGGAGCGGTCTGGGCATCACGCATGCTGAGGCCACCAGGCGTATTCATGATGCCTTGGCCGTTCATCCTCCAACACGCCTCGGCTTCAAAACGTGCACATTACTATTCTGAGCAGTGTAGGGGGAGTACATGTGCCAAGTGGGTGCGATCATGCTGCAAGAAAATAGTTGCTTTCATCACTTGGCCCTCGGAATGTGTGTAACTCGATCTATCCAAGGCCGTTGAGACAGTTGTGAAACGGCTCGGGCGTGGTTGTGGGTTGTGGCGACTCTGTGATGTGATTCGGCGCTTGAAGGAAACATTCGCGTGCTTGGACCCCAACGCGGAGGAACCCATGCCAATGCGAATCATGCGGCGATCCAAAACCTGAGCAGAAATGACCAGCCGCAGATGCCGGGCAGATGTTCCTTGATGCTGTCAATGTCGCTCGTGGTTTGCATTCTTCATACGTGCGTGCGCGGATCACCATCACCCATCACCGCGCTCCGATGCAGAACCACTGCGCGCATATCTTGGCGGTACGTGCGCACCGCTCTCTTCTTTCTCGCGCGTTCTCCTCTGACGGCCTTTCCGTTTCAGGAGCTCGATCCACGATTTGATGGAATGCGCGGTCCACGACATGATGGAATGCAGGTGGTCTGTGAAAGACCTCAAGGTGATTTTGCATAGCACGTCGCGGGGATCGACATCTCGCGCGCTAGCCGTGCTGAGAATTGTGCTTCGAACGCTGTGAAGAGTGCATGCAGCTTCGATCTTGCTGTACACTTTTCACATTGGCACACATGAGGTGAGTTCCTTGCTTCATTGAGCTGTGACTATGTCGCCCGTCGAAGCCGTCGCAACTTCAGACTCGATTCTGAAGCCCTGCGCAGAACAACGTGTGCTCAAATACATCCAACTCCGACGCAACGGTACTGCCGTGGAGATGATACAGGATTGTCCACATCTCTTGCTCGCCGTACATCTGGTGTGAAACTTGCTGTATCCTCATCCTCCACCCGAGGGGGGAGGGAGAGCGTACACGAGGATGAGTGAAAGGGATAAGTCGGGGGCGCGCAAACATGGATTTGCGATCGATGGATTTGGCGCGCGGTCGCCAAATCCATGGATCGGGGGAGGTGCCCTCCCCGAAGTGCGGCCGGTGCCGCCTTGCTCGGCGGCGGAATCGCGATTCCCCGTGAAAACGGGACCCGTCGCTCATCCACGCCCCCTTAAGCCATGCTTGCGATAGCCTGATAAGAGAAAAATGCCGCAGAGGACGACGACCTGTCCCTCCTCCTCCTCGTCCTCCTCCCCCTCCTCCTCCTCCTCCTCCTCCTCCTCCTCCCTCTCCTCCCCTCCTTCTCCTCCTCCTCCTCCTCCTCCTCCTCCTCCTCCTCCTCCTCCCCCTCCTCCCCCTCCTCCTCCCCCGTCGTGGCCGTAAAAATGGTACTCCACATTGAGGCTCTCGATCCGCGAGAAATCGCCGGGGGTCATCGACTCCAGGACCTCGCCCCCCCGGCGGCCGAAGCCGGCCCGCGACCGAGGCCTGCACGCTCTGGGAGAGGGGGGGCAGCAACGAAATCTATACGCTTTCCAGGGTTTCCAGGATCCTCCACAATTCCCCGCATTCACGCACTTTTTCCGTGAAGGCCAACTTCTATGTGTCTGTACGAGTGGTTTCCCTTCCCAGCTCGTGCTTGCTGTTGCAGGGGCAACTCCGCCTCGCACCCATCCGCCGCCTCCCTCGTACACATACCTACTCACACCCACACTCACTCACACTCACTCACTCATACCCATGCGTATTCATACGCAGACTCACTGCCGTTTACTGGCGCTCAGACTCACTCGCACTCAGTCCCACTCATACTCAGACTCGCCCACACTACGACGCACTCGCACAGACCCGCTCTCACTCAGACTCACTGGCGCTCAAGCTCGCGGATTGTGAGGATGGCTCGGGCGAGGCGCTGATTCCAGCACCCTCAGGGGGAGCCGCCAAGGTTGTTTGCACGGTTCCATGGCCCCGTTCACGCACACATTGTGGGGATGTCAAGCGGTTTGCCTGTTTGGCCCCGCGGGCTCCTATGCTTTCGAAACAACTTGCGAGGATGGCTCAGGCGCGGCGCTGGTTTCAGCTGGATCCAGGGGGGAGCCGCCAGAGTTGATTGCACGGCCCCGTTCGAGGCCAGATCGTGGGGATGCGTCAGGCCTCTTGCCTGTTTTGGCCCCCCGGATTCCTCTGCTTTCAAAACAGACCGCGAGGATGTTTCAAACGAGGCGCCAACTTCAGCACCCCAAAGTGGGACCCCCCGCGAGCTCCCAGGAACTCCTAGGAGACCCCAAGGCGTCTCGGGAAACTACAGCGGGCCCCAAGAAGCTCAACACAACACCGAAAACTCCAGCAAACTCCCAGGACCCCCCCCGGATCTCCCGGGAAACCCAAGGGAACCCCTCGGAGTTTCCAAAAAACTCAAGGACGCCCACGGAAGCTACAGGCAGGTCATTCCAAGAAACTCACGGGACACTAAGGAGTTCCCAAGAGATCACAGGAAGCCACGGGATCTCACGACAAACTCGAAGTAACCGCCAACAGTTCCCAAGAAACTTTGAGACGCCCTGGGCAGCTCTTGGGAATCCAAACGAGCAAGAACACATTCCGTGGATGTCCCGCGAAACTCCAGGACGCCCCACGACGCTCCGAGGACACCCAAGAAACTCCACGGAACCTCAGCGAACTCCGAGACAGCCCTGGGATCTCCCAGGAAGCTCCAAGGAAACCCAAGAAACCCCGGCGAACTCCCAGGAAAGTCCAGGACGTTCCAGGAAACTCTAAGAAACCCTCGGACGCCTTGCCAATAGGAAGTGCCACGGAACGCCCAGGAGGTCCCAGGAAACCCAAGGAGTTCGATGTGCAGGCAATTTGCTTGTTTGGTTGCCCTGGCTCTGGTTTCAGAAACACATTGCAAGGGCGCCTCAAGTCAAGCGCTGGCTTCAGCACCCCAGCGGGGGGCCGCCACGGGGTGCGTCACTAGCCCGTTCGCGCCTGGATTGTGGTGATCTCTGCGGCTGATTGCCTGCTCGGCGCCCGGGACTTGTGAAGCAGACTGCGAGGGTATCTTTGGTGATGCGCTCGCTGGTTTCAGCGCCAGGGAAGCCGCCCGGTTCGTCTGCGCGGAGGAGAGGGGGGGGGAGGAGAGGGAGGAGGAGGAGGAGGAGGAGGAGGAGGAGGAGGAGGAGGAGGAGGAGGAGGAGGAGGAGGAAGAGAAGGAGGAGGAGGAGGAACGAGTACGGGGAGAAGGAGGAGGAGGGGCGCCAAAGCCTGGTTGGATAATCTGATCCACTGTTTCCATCATCGCTTCAAGCGCCTGACGTTCCACGCTAGGGACGACGACCTCAAAGTGCGCATGTGGGCCTCGGAGAAGGCCATCCGCGAGCGGCGTCCGCAGGCTATCGCTGACCTTGCAGCGTCACTTGCGAAGGCTGGGTGCCAGCTATCCCCGAAATGCAGCGTCGTGGCGTCGTCGTCGTCGCTGGCCACTGACTCATGAGATGTGCCCCCTCGGGTTTCCTGTTCAGATTCGGGAAGCTGGCAAGGACCTCGAGCGTGGTGCTACCTTGAGCAAAATCCGGCGTCTCGGGGTTCGGAAGACCAGGCGGACGAATGGCTTCAGGAGGCTCGCCGATATAAATCCGCCGACCCGGCGGGTGAGTGTAAGGGGGCGTTCACGGGGTGGCCCTGCTGGGGTAGGGGGAGGCCCCTGGGAGAATGGACAGCGTACTTGTCCAACACCCCACCGGATTCTCACAATTATGAATGCCCTTGCCCACCTGCTTTCCCCGGGGCCCCCGCGAGATAGTTGCGAGAAGTTCGGGGCCACCAGCTGAGACTGCTCATGGGGGCGATTGCTTATTTCAACCGTAAGCCCGTCCTGTGGTGCCGAAGGCGACACCAACATAATTGGAATGCGCCCTGGGAGAGAAGCAAGCAGCGGCGGCGGGTGGGCGCCGCGCTCCTTGAAGTTCTCGAACGCGTCCTCGATCTGGTAGATGTCCGCCTCGTCGTTCGTCCTAGCGAGCGTAAGGTGGATGAGCGCGGAGGGCAAAAAGAGCTGGATCATCCTTGCCGAGCACGATGGAGATGATTCGGTGAATCAAATTAGAACTCTTTCCAATGCCGAGCACGGTGAGGTCGCGCGTCTATGACGGGCATGACACGCTGCAACCTGCCGCGCCAGGAGCCAAACGGCAGCGGGAGAAGAGAGACAATTAAAGCAGGCAGCAGGAAAGGTTGGTAGGCTACCGTTCGAGTAGAAAGAGGAGAATGAAAAAGGAGGAGGAGGATGAAGAGGAAAAGGGGGAGGAGGAGGGGAGGAGGAGGAGGAATATTCCCCAATCGGAGCTTGCCTCTGTAGGGATCCTAACGGATTCATTACCGACTTCCGCGGCCCGCCTGGTTGCCCGGGTGCCCGGGTGCCCAGTTGCCCGGGTGCCTCATAGCCCTGTGGCCCTACTATAGCCCCATAGCCCCATAACCCTATAGCCCACTAGCCCTACAGCAGCCCTGTAGCCTTATAGCCCTATCGCCTAGAGCCCTATAGCCCCGTAGCTCTATAGCCCTATAACCATATACCCCTGCAGCCCAATAGCCCTACAGCCCAATAGCCCGATAGCTCCATAGCCTAGTAGCCCAATCGCCCAATAGCTCTATATGCCTATAGCGGCATATTCGTATAACCGAATAGCCCTATAGCCCTATGGTCATATAGCCCTATAGACTCATAGCCCGATCGCCCTACAGCCCCATAGCCCTATAGCCCTGTAGCCCGATAGCCCTTTAGCTCCAAAACCCTATAGCCCCATCGCCCTAAAACGACATGTGTTGATTTTTTCCTCTGGTATCATGGAGGGTGGGGAAAAGAAAACATTGAGAAAGCTGTGGAAGAGGAGGATGGAAGGGGAGGAGAGAAGAGGATAACGAAGAGGAGGAGGAGGAGGAGGAGGAGGACGAGGAGGAAGAGGAGGAGAAAGAGGAAGAGGAGGAGGAGGAGGAAGTGGGAGAGGTGACACTTGGCGAGGGAGACGCGTCTACTCCTCTTGGCCTCAGAGCTGGCACTGCGGGGACTGGTGCAGGCGGATGCAGCCAGACAGAAGTTCACAGTCAGACACTAACCGACAACGAGACTTGCCAGGGCAACGAGATGCACATATCGGAGAGAGCGCGTTTCACGGGCGCTTGTCTTGGGAAGATTCGGCGGCGCGTTTCGAACCGAGAGGTGGGACTCCCCCCAACACTCGGCGCCGTCGATCAAAACCAGGGGGACTCCCCCCTCTAACACCCCCGCTCCCGAACCCCTTCTCCCCCTCCCTCTTCCCAAGGGGGCGGGGGTTCAAACCCCCCCCTCCCCCTGGCGCCAGCGCCGGCGCCGGCGCTGGCGGCCGCCAGCAACGCCGACGGCGGGGACGCAGCGACGATGACCAGAGGAAACCCCGGGGGGGGAGGAGGGGGTGGTTCTAAACTCCCCCCCCCCGCGGGCGCCAGCGCTGACGGCGGCCAACAGCGCCGACGACGGGGACGCAGCGACGATTACCACCACTACCACCACCACCCCCACTACTACCACCACCTCAACCCACCACCACCACCACTAACCCACCACAAAAAGACCACCACCACAACCACAACCACCACCACCCCAATTCACCACCACTACCACCACCACAAAAAACCTACCACCACTACCACCACTACCACCACCACCACAATCTACCATACCACAACCACCATCGCCACAACCACCACGACTATCAGCAGCACAACCCACCACCACCACCACCAACCACCACACCACCACCACCGCCACCACCACCACCAGCACCACCACCACAAACCACCGCCACCACCACAACCCACCACCACCACCACAACAAACCACCACCACACAACCAAACCACCACCACCACAACCCACCACCACCACCACAAACCACCACCACGCCACCACCAAACCACCACCACCACAACCACCACCACCACCACCCACCACCACAACCACCACTACAACAAACCACCACGCCACCACCACCACAACCACCACAACCACCAGAACTGCCACCATCACCACGACAACCTGCCACTACAACCACCACCATCACAGACCACCACATCACCACCACCAACAACCACCACCACAACCACCACCACCGCAACACATCACCACCACCACCGCCACCACCACCACCATAACCCGACACCATCACAACAACCACTACCACCACGACAAACCACCACACCACCCCCGCCACCGCCACCGCCACCGCCACCTTAACCCACCACCACCACCACAACTACCACCACCACATGAAACCACGGCACCACAACCACCGCCACCGCCACCATCACCACTTCAACCTGCCACTACAGCCACCACAACAACCAACACCACCACCACCACCACCACCACCACCACCAACCACACCACCACCATCACCACCACTACCGCCACA